TATCTATCAAAATATAGTCATTCGTTAGATGTCGCTCATTTGCTAAAGAGATGAGAACCGGATTGTTCACTTTGTTAGACGAATAAATTTGTTGTAAATAATCACATAAATTTTTCTTCTTCTTTAAAAGAAGGGTAATAGAAAAGAATAAACTTTTTTTGTTTTTATTTATTTAAAAATGTCATTATTAATATCAACTGAAGTATAAAATAAAGATTAGACTTTCATGGAAATGTCTATGATTTTCAAAACTAAATTGATTGATTTTTTTCGCATATGATTTCTTGTATCTTATTTATGTGCTTAACAAATGCAATCAATGTGTCATCGTCGAACATGAACAATTCATCATTTTCGTCTACTATTACTGCTAATAATAATAATAATACTAACGATGATAAAAAAGAAAATATTAACAATACTCATGATATTATCTCTGATTACACTGAAAATGGAACTGATGAACTTACATTAGGGTTTGAAGATATATTATTTAAAAACAATTGATAAAATAATTTCCTTTTTTCTTTCTTTCTAAAGGAATGGTAATCAATCGGAAGTTTTATTGGACGATAAATCAAACCTAAGTTCACGTAGAAGTCGGACTGGACGACCTATTGATCCCATATCAGTTGATATTCTTCCGACTAATACTGTTACCAATTCTCAACTAAATCTTCGTATTATTGATTTTAATGATTTATATATAGGAGACACAATTGGTGTAGGTGGTTTTGGGTAAGAATCATATTGTTTATTTTATTAAATTTAAAAGTTGTCATAATCTAAAATACTTCAAATACAAGATCTCCGTTATAAGTAGCTAATCAAATATATGATATATCAAATAATTCAGATCCTATGTTTTATTAAGCTCAAATTCTACAGCAATTAAGATTTTAGGAAATTTTAAGCAGATAAAAGTAAATTTACGAAAAAAATCTCTTCTCCTTTATCAAAAGAGTAAATGTCATAGAATCGATTAAAAGAATTCGGCATTCTCTGAAACAAACTCAAAACTTAATTGTTGATATAACAATTGATTTTCTTCATTTAATTATCATTGGAAGACAAGATAAAACATAGTCATCTGATATATCAATCGCTATAATTAAATTAAAATAATATTAGATTATTTGTTTTATATTTTTCTAGTCATGTCTTTCATGGTAAATTTGGTGATATTGATGTAGCCATCAAGACAGCAAAATCTTTAGCATCATTTTGTTCAGTACAAACAACAACAACTTATGATGATACATCTGATGCTGTACAAAAAACTCTTATTGATAGTCTTTTACGTGAAGCACGTCTTTTTTCTAATCTTAAACATCGAAATATAATTCAATTATTTGGTGTTAGTCCATCATTATCAACAAAAAATCTTTATCTTGTTATGGAATATGCACATGGTGGTGCATTAAATCATCTTTTACGTAAACGTCAATCAGGTCTTTATCCAAATGTATTTATACAATATGCTAAACAAATAGCAGATGGTATGAGATATTTACATGAAGAAGCATGTGAACATATTATTCATCGTGATTTAAAATGTTCAAATAGTAAATTAAATGAAATATTAAGGAAAAAGAAGTTACTATTATTATTAATTTTGTTTTTTCGTTTTAGTACTTATTTTAGAACATATTAATGATGTTCATAATGATAGTGATCTTTTACATAAAACATTAAAAATAACGGATTTTGGACTTGCTAGAAAACAATTACAAACATCAAGTGTATCAACTGCTGGAACATTTGCTTGGATGAGTCCAGAATGTATTCGTAATACGGAATTTTCAACGAAATCAGATGTTTGGAGGTGAATTTTAAAAGAAATATTTTGTCTTATTAGGATTTTGTTTATGATAAGTTAAACCGTAAGATTTACAAAAAAAAATTAATCATTTAAAATATTGAGAAGATAATATTCTTGAAACTATTAGATAAATAACTAGCTAGGGAATTTCTTCAAGTGTCAAATATATTTTTCGACTGAGATGATGTTCATTTCATGAGTAATAGGAAAGCCTAGAATGTTTTAGTGTTTCAAGCCTTCGTTCTTCATATACTGAAATTTTACTGAATTTTTCAACAGAAAGCTGTGATCACGTGAAAAACCAACTTTCAAATTCAAATTTCGTATGAACAAAGTTCTCCATGAGATTAGTTCATTGAACAAGTTGGCAATTTTCTAGTATTTTCAATTCTAAGATATTCGAGAATCTCTCATGTATTGAAGTAAATTTTGTTAATATACCTACATCTCCAGAAAGGAAATGGTTGAAAAATCCAGTAAAATCTCGATATCTCGAGGACGAACGATTGGAAAATCAAACCATTCTAAACTTTTCTATCATTCATCAAATAAATAGTGTTTTGATCGAAAAGTGATTTGACGCCTGACGACTTACCTGTAACAAAAATGAGAGAAATGAGAAGTGATGATGTTCCCTTTCGTTATCAATGCATAGTGTGTTTTATTGTGATCAACCATGACAAACTGGAGAAGTTGCTGAATCGCTATCCTCGGTGTAGATGTTCACTGTATTACTTCAGTTGGGATTATTTCATATAGAACTAAAGATTATGTATCTTAGAAGGAACGAGAGAGAAGAGAGAAAAGAATGAGTGAACAGCTACTTTCGATCATGAGGTTAGAGTGTCTAGTCGAATGGTGACCGAACGGTCTCACATCATTGAACATATAAAAGATGAAGAAACGGTGTGAGTTTACATTCAAAATCCGTTTTATAAAATAATCGATTTCGAAATTGTGTTAGCAAAACAAACTCTGTAGTTTTGAAAGGACTATTCTATTTTTTTTTTGTGTTTTAGTTTTGGTGTTCTTCTTTGGGAATGTTTAACAGGTGAAGTACCTTATAAAGGTTTTGATCCAATGCAAGTTGCATTCGGTATTGCAACAAATAAATATTCTCTTCCCATTCCAAGTACATGTCCGGAAGAATTTTCACAATTAATGACAAGTATTTGATTTAATTTCTGTTATTTGTTTTTTTTCTTTAATCATTTTAATTTAAAAGATTGTTGGAAAATTTCTCCACATGAACGACCAACATTTAGTATGTTACTTGAACAGATAAATAAAATTATTGAAATAAACTATACAACTAATCAAATAAATCATATGGAACCAAATGAAGAATCATATCAATCATTACAAAAAGATTGGCGTCAAGAAATTCAAGATATGTTTAATGAATTAAAAGAAAAAGAACAAGTAAAAAATTAAATTTATATATTTTATTCTTAATTAATAAATATAAAATATATTAAGGAAATTCGTGATCGTGAACAAGCTATTCATCAACGTTTATTAGAACAAAATCATCAACGTTTAGAATTAGAAAAATGGGAACAACAATTATATGAACGTGAAATGCATATTGTTGAATTAGAATTACAATTATTAATAGCAAAAAATAATCAACAACGTACACATCATCATACACCAAAAATATCAAATCGATCTGGAGGATTTTTTCGTTCAATTCTCAATGGAACTAATAATATATCATCGAATTCTACTACCCTAATTAGTAGTCCAACAAGTATGTTTTCAAAACAAATATCCGAATGTGCCATAAATAACACTATGATAAAAATTTCTACTTCAGTTCATTCAAATCAGGTGATGTTTGTTTCTTTTTTAAATTAGTTCAATGCTCCTCAAGTAAAGAAAATACATATGTAACGCTCAAAAATAATTTTTCATTGGCACCTAAGAGAATAAAAAAAGGAATAAAAATAAATTTTATAATAATTCATTGATGCACATATAATGAACTCTTAAGATTAGTTAATATCAATATTAAAATTCGTGTTTGATAACAAAGATGTAATAGGATAAGCTTTTGTTGTATCCCGATTGAGAAGAATTTTCTAACTCTTATTCTATACATCTCTATAGTCATTTGTCTGACGAAAAATCAGTGCTCCATACTTGAAATTTTATTCTATGTGTGTATTAATGTATAAAGTCTATTTTCTTTCATTCTTACAGATAATAAATGAAAATTATCTCGAAGCGCTACACATGTGCTTTTCTTAGTTCATAGTAGTTTTTGTTGACCTTGTGCATATGAAAAAAAAAAACAAAAATTTCGAATGAACTAAAGCGAAATAACATTCATTTTTTAAAATCATAGTGTTATTTATGGTTCAATCTGTATATGTGTAGCAAAATTGAATCATTTTAGATTTTCGTCATTTAATATCCGTATGCCATAATCAACCAAACATTGATCCAACATTATCACCAAATGTTCCTACATTATCTCCATCATTTTCATCATCAATATCATGTTCCATGGCACCGAATTCAACAAATAAATCATCGAATTCTCAATTTAATCGTTCATATTCAAGTAATAGTACACCAACAACACCCAATATGAGTCGACTTCGTACATTAACTTGTACGTATATTTATCTGTGTTAATTTTTTTCTTCGCTTCTATAAATTTAAATAATTGAGATAAAATAATAAAACAATCGAGTAATTACATTTATACATATACAAAATATATATGTATATCTAGCAAGTGGAGATCTTATTATACATAATCGTAGTAACGGTGAATTTCTACTGATTGATAATGGTAAGAAATTAAAAATAATATTAGCTTCTTCTAAATGAATAACATACAACTATATTATAATAGATATAATATTTTATGCTAATTGAAAATACTTCTTTGAAACTTTTAAGACTAAAAAAGAAAATATTGTTAATGCATTTCTTTTCTATTTTAACACAGCTTTTAGCATATTTAATATACCTTTTTGATTCTATGCTTAGTTATTTTTGTTTTTTATTATTAATATTTTTAATATGATGCATGAAAAAAAAAACTAAAACACATTAGAGAAACAAATATTGATGCTAATCTAAAAAAAGAAAAGTCATCTACTAAATATTTTGTTATAAAATTAATGATTCTTTTTTTTATATAGTTAATCAATTAGTTGATGGATGTAATCCAACAACACCACCTGATAAACCTCCACGTTCAATTAGTCAAACAAAATCACCTGGACGTAAATCTAAATCATCGTCAGCTATAAAACGCAAACAAGGAAAAAGAAATGTACATAATGGTGAACCAAAATGGTATTTAGAAACTTTATCATCAATAAATACAAATAATAATAATAATAATAATAATAATGATAATACAACAATATCAAGTACAATATCAACTCCAATTATTGATCGATCAACTCGAAGATTAGGTAAAAATAAAAGAATATAATTTCTTCGTTTTTTTTTCTTATCTTTTTATTTTTCCAGTTTCGGAGAGTTCTGATGAATTAAGTAAGCTTTGACTAATCAATAAATATAACAATTCTACATTAAATTTTCACATATCTAGAAACAAACAGTCATTACTAACATATCTTGTATGCTTAATTAATTCTTTTTTCTTTTTATTGAATAGAAAAAAAAACACTCATAATTATTTATAACATTGATTTATTTTCATCTATTGATTTATTTTTTTTCATTTCAAAATATTTATATATTTGTCAATAGTCAAAATAATAGTTCTGTTTATCATCAAATTCAATTATCTCGTTAAAGAATTTAACATTTAACGAAATCATCCCTCTCCCTTCTCCAAGAAAAACTTCCGTTTCGCATATAGAGTCTACAGATAGTTACTTTAAGATAGTGGATCAAAATATAAGTGATCACGCATTCCAAAAGACAACTATAAGATTTTGACTACAGAGCGCGATATATGTAGGCCTGTACAAATAGATTTCTTCTATCTACTAGTGTATGTTTTATCAGATTCCATGAGGTACAGTTGACATTTCAATAGGTAGCGCCACCTATTGAAATGTCAACTTTGCTTCATGGAATCTGATAACACATACACTATTAAGTAGAGGGAATTTATCTCTACAAGCCTACATATATTCCGTTCTGTAGTAAAAACTTATACTGACTTTTCTGTGCTATATCGAACTCTAGAAAATTCGGGTTAATTTTAAAATGTAATCAAGACATGGTGATATAACTAAACAGAGCACAATTTATTCTAGCTTGCCTTTTTTTCGAAAGTTCGTCTAATAAAATACGGAAAAATCATGCTACGTTTTGCTCCATAATGGTTCGTTTTTCAGTAAACATTAAAGAGAACATCGACAAATCCGGCTCTATTTAGTTGTGAATCTAATATTTCGACGTACAGAAATGTCAAAATAAATTTCAATACTTTAATTATAAACTTTTTTCTGTATAAAATGAAACATTCACATTTACATTCTATTTAAAGGATTTTCATGTTCGAGTGTTGTATTCATTGTTAATACTAAACAATGTACAATAGTCATATCCATGAGTGCCAAAAGTTAGCAGAGAAGCTTGAAAAACTGAGGAAACACATTATTGTCTTGAATATGAGAATCAAAAAAAAAACCCTATGTAATATCCGTAAGTCTCTTCATAAAATCAATAAATTCTAGTGTATTCAAGAGTAATCAAACTAGCTATGAATCAACGAATCGATAAATTTGATTTTTTTCTAAGAAGGGGGGGGGGGGGGGGGGGCGGAGGCGGGAGGCAACTTAACAAATTCTTTATACTATTGACAATTATATAATCTTTTGAAATGAATATTTAAACTTACTAATCTAATGATTTAACTATGATTTATTTCTTTTATTTAATAATTTACAACGAATAAAATTTATTTTTCAAATAGGTTCATCTTCATCTTCTCTATGTTCAACACCAAATGATCGTTCATTAGCACGTGCTATATTTGATATAAATTCCATGTTAATGAGTGTTGGACTTGGTCATCGTTTGCCTGCTCAAATAGATTCATCTTCAATACGAACATGTCAACAACAGCAACCAAATGTTGCTTGTTCAATAAATGAAACAGTTAAAACAAAATATCATCAACCAATTAATTCAACATCATTAACAAAGGATACAACCAAACAAGCAAATGAATTTACAAATATTGATTATCGATCCGAACCATTCTATTTACCAATTCGACCTAATTCACTTATTCTTTTATCATCATCATCATCATCTTCACAAAATTCTAGTCACAAAAATCCTATCATATCAACAACAATAGGAAATCAACAAATAACAGATGATGATAATGAAAAATATTATTCGGCACAATCATCAAAAATTTCAACACCAATGATACATTCAATGGATTTATCATCTTATAGAGAAAATTTCGAAGATAAATTAATTTTATCATCTATACTTGATATTGATGGTAATGAACAAAAAAAACATCAAACAAAAGTATTACCAACACAAGTTGAAAATAATAAAAAATTTTCTATTTCACCACATATTATTGAAAAAAATTCCTTCAACTAAGCAATATTGTTTGTTTTTCTTTTCCCTTTTAGTTTTCTTTTTGTCTGTATTATTGATATATACATATACATATATATATATATAATCTTATACATAGCCTGTATTATGATTTGAATGTTCTTTGACTTTAATGTATTTGTGTATGTGTGCATGTTTACGAAACATTCTCTATTTTGACTAAATTATATATGTTGTTTGTGAAAAAAAAAACTATTTATGACTCGCATTTTATTTGTATATAAATAGAACAGAAAGCAATAAAACACAAGAATACATTCGAGAATTTGAATAAATAAATATTTTATGATTAAGTATAATGCGGAATGTAGAACAAAACTTTGACTTCGATATATGAAGAAATTGAAGAAATGAAAGATTTTTGTTAAATAGTTTTTAACTAAGTTTGAAATTAAGTTTAGAGAGATATTCACCGTATTTTCGAATTTTAGATAGGACTCTCAGAATTTGTACATCATACACTATGTGCTTGTACTCCTAACAGTAGGTGTTCGCCCATCAGAGTTCTAAATCATCACTTCAGAAGAAAAAACTCGGATGAAATAGTGATATATATTTATGAAACGATGTTTAGGAAGATTTAAATGATGTATGAAATTTTATTAGAGGAAGAATCAATGATAATCAATTTTTGAAGTAAAGCTAGTATAAATATAATTCATTTTACTAGCCTTTGCCTTGGGTACTTCTTATGAGATAATCTAGAAAGATTAATTCAAATGAACTCGGCCAAGTATTCATCATTCATATTTATCGATTAGTGGTTTTTTCGTATTGTGTTAATTCTTAGTAGACTTCAATGTTTTTCAAAATTTTCGTACGGCTATTGGTCTTCATCAAGTGAACCGTCAATTATATTATGATATTCATTTTTAAAATACCCTTATAAACACAAATTAGTCGGTTAAATATTCAAAGTTTTTTCTAGAATATCTGTAAATTGATTTGACATTTACATGTGTTTCATGCATAAGTTGATGTGCAATTCCTAAACAGATGTATACTCCTGTTATTACTTAGGTTAGCATTACATATATTGAAAAATGAGTCATAGTTTTCTGGAAAGTCATGCTAGTGTTTATACATGTACATACGTGATACGTAGATAAAGCGTATTTTCTCTTGTGTATACATATTGACAAGTGTGAGTCAGAGCAGAAAGAAATCAATCTCGCCTCCCCTCCCCCCTCCAGTCCTCTTCTCTCTCTAGTCTGTTTTGCCTTTTTTGGTTATATCGTGAAGCAACAAAAAAAACAACGTCATATGGATGCTCGAACTCTTTAGGTTTTTTTTTCTTGTTCTTTTTCTTTTCTTGTCACAAGACATATTATATATTTACGGCGAAAAACATAAATTACTTTTTGTTTTCTTCAATGTCTGCGATTCCAACACTTCAACAGCGACTTTTTAATTGTTGTGCTGATCCACATGATGAAAATAATGATAAATTATTAGTATTAAAAAATATCTTAAATGAAATTAATCAACACGATAAGCATTATTTAATCGATGTTGAAGATGCAACTCATCGAGCACCATTATTTCATGCTATTGAAAGTGGTCAATCATTAAATTTTATTCAACAATTACTTGATTTTCAAGTTCATATTACAAATCGAATATTACTCTGTGCAATTCGATATGGAAATTTAGATATATTAAAATTATTACATCAATATGGTGCTGATTTTAAACAAACTTATTCTGGTATATCACTTTTACACGAATGCATACTTTTACATAAAAATAATCTAATTAGTTTTCTAATTGAAGAAGGAGATGTAAGTAATATTTAAAATTTTATTGTTTTCCTTAATGATAAATCGAGTTTTTAAAATAGATCAATCCAAATACTGTTGATTACGATAATCAATCTCCATTGTTATATGCTATATTCCGTACAAATGTCGAAGCAATACTTATTCTTCTTGCTTATTCATCCATAGACCCATGTTTGATAAGCACACGTAAACAACAATTAACTTGTTTTCATGTGGCTTGTGAATTGGGTATTGATGAAGTACTTCCACCAATGATAAAATGTATTTCAATATTGAATATAAATAAATTATCAAGAAGTGATCAAACTCCATTTGATCTATTTTTATCATGTTATTTATTTACAAAAAATGATTTATATATGAATGAAACGTCATTAAAAAAATTTTCAGCATTATTTGATTTATTCATATCAAATGGTGCAAAATTACATCATCTAACAAAAGCTTATCGTCGTACACGTGCACCCTATGTAACAAAGCTTTTAACAATACTTTTTAAAAAAGAAATTTCTTTTTCTGATATTATACTTCAAACAAATCGTTCAACTATTTTTGTTGATTTACAATCACTTGTTTCTCAATCATTAGGTGATTGGCCTTATATTGTTGAATCAAATGATGCTATAACAATAAAACAACGCCAATTAATACTTCGACAACTTTATGAATTATTTATTACTGTTTATTATAAATCAATTAATATTCAACAAATTAATAAAAAATTATTAACAAGATATTGTTCAGCTAATGCAAAAGATTCAAAAATTAAACAAATTTTATGGTTGTTTATTAAAAATTTTATTGAACCAACTAAAGAAATTGGACCGTTAAAATCTATATGTAGAACAAAGATTCTTTTGAAATTAGATTCGATTGATAAACATTGTACAGTATCGGATTTAGGAATTTCAAAAGATCTCGAACACTATCTTTTATTTTTTACAATGAGTTAAATAGAAACAAAAATTTTTGTATCTAATAAATTTGTGTTATTCGTTATGGTTTTCTTCTCTCTATAGTTACAATAGAAATGGAACTATAACAACAGTTCATACGAAATTAAACTATTGTCAGAAAACGGTTTACGAATGCATGTTTTTATAAATTAATTTCTCATGATATTGTATGAGGTTAATTTCGTCGAAAAACATCTTTTATCAATAGATATCTGGTATTGAAACAATACTCATTTGATGACTGAAATACAAATATAAAACGAAATATATATATAATCCTTGTCAGTAGAATTTTTGATTCTCAATATTGTCGTAAGCAGATTCGTACTAGATAAAGGGTATTTTTGAATACTTTTAATATTGATGAAAGTAATACCAATGTTATATTAGATAGATCTCGTGAGAAACATCCATTGTGACAAGACAATAAATAAGATGAACGCGATATGAAAACGACGTCATTTGAGAGATACATCGGGAATAATTTTTTTAGAGACTTTCGTAGATTATCAATCACGATTGACCTTGAATGTCTAATATCAAGGCTTTCTATTGCTTCTTTCTACATGCTTATTTATTTATTTTTGATGAACTAAAATTGATGATTTTTGAGTTTGAGTTGTCGTGCACAAGATAACTATCAGTGAAGTATGAAAAATTCTAAATGGATAAATTCCATTAGTCTTTTTTCTCCAGAGTTTTACTCATTTTCAGAAATTTTAGTCTATAGTACAGTATCTAAAAACAAATTGAATAATGGCATTTTGCTCTGAAATTCTGTCAACTCATAGACATACTTGTAAATGGAATGCTATAAAAGTTTAATTTCAAAAGAATGTTTCTTCATCAGATATTAAAGCTCTAAAAATCACATGTATCCTACGAAAGATGAGAAAATCTTATTTTTCTTTAGAAATCTAATATCTTATGATGGAAATATTGAATTGATATGCAATGTTGAGATAATTCTAATTCTGATTAGACTTATTTATCGACTGAATTATCATCTCAGTACTGTTATTCGGCCTGTTAATACAAGCCACACCAGAAGCTATATTATGCTTAAAGTCCGAACTTCAAAATGATTAATTATTTGGAATGGTATTTTCATAAGTTGTTGATATTCACTAGATTAGTGTTTTTTTCTTACCTGCAAATTCTCTACGTTTATTTTTAGAGATGTGCATCGAAGTCATTTTTAAGAGTGGTCGAAGCTCTCTAAATTATGTACTAGTCAATTAGGTTGAACACTAAAGATTTCTTCCGAATAGTGAGTTATTTTCTCAATTCACGTTTTCTCAGGACTTGACAACGGTGGGTAAAAGTCGGAGTCAAGTATGATTTTGGCTTCTTCTCATGAGCTTGGATTTCACAGAGACACAAATCAAATTCTGAAAGCATATCAATTTGTACAGTACATACTAAAGAATAAAACTTTCAATTTAAAAAACCTGTTATGTTAAATCTGTTTTATTAATGAGACATTTAGTTGATTCTGATGCGACCTTGATGTAAGTCTCTGGTTTACAGCGTGTTAATCAGTCTATGGATGAGGAAAACGATTGGGTTCAAATTTTGAATCTATACATTACAATACTACTTTTAGATCATGCTTTACAAAATTAGCATCTTTTTACATAGGAATTAGTTGTACCACATGTCATTTATTGTAGGTAATTATTATTTATTTAAGATCTTTCTATTCCATCCTAGTGATTATCCAAAGATAGGAAAGTCTAATGAAAAAATAACAAATATATTTTTCCAACAATATTTGTTGTTTCATAGGAGCCATTTAAGCTACAATTCAACCGAATTATGTAAGCTAATGAGTGTCGTAGCTGACACGAGATCTGAATCACGATACGTTACTGTTGTAAAGATATCTATCGATTTCACATTAGGTCTTTGCAATCCTATGTGAGTCTTGTATAGAATCTTTTACTGTGCTTATGATTGTTTTTTCTTTGAAACCATTTCCGAAAAGTATAGCAGATTCAAAATCGAATTCTGGATCATAGCATGCTGGACATACTCACATCCAACATATCTGTTGATAAATAGATTATGTCCTCTTCGGAGCACATCGTATGATAAATTGGTTTCTGCTTATATAGAAATCACGTTCATACCCAAATAAGTAGACAGCTATAAGAATAGATCATTTATTCAAACAAATAGAATCTGTTATAATTAGTAATGAAATAATTTTTTTAAAATTCGGAATTATTTCCGTTTCAAACCATCATAGACGACGCCAGCAGCTGTGTAGCCAGTGCCAGCTCCAGCAACAGCTCCTGCAGAGCCACCAACAATCGCTCCAAGTGGAATAGGCATTACCAAATACCCCACAATAGCAGCTGCAGTTCCACCCGTTGTACCACCAACAATACCACCCATCAACTGTCCATATTCTTTGTTATCATTCGCAAGACCTATGTTCCCACCGACAACACCACCAAAAACTCCACCAACAGCACCACCGACAGTACCACCATAAGCTATTGGACATGCCATGTTGTTGTTTGATCTATTCAGAAAAATGTTGGCATGAATTAATAGTAACTGAATTCTTAAGACAAGATTTCTAAGGATTCAATATTTCACTTAGAATCTTATAATTCTGGTCAAGCAGGTGAACACTAACAAGATGACGTATGATCTGTATATTTTTCGTCTTGGACTAATTTCATTAAAGGTTTCTTATGAGCACAGTATAGACTCGAAGAAAAGAAGTCAGTTGGAGTAGATCCTTTATCAGCTAAGTGATAAAAAAATAGTATTTACCTGATGATTAATTGTGAATGAAGTCTTTGCGAGTATCGATAAATACTAAGTGTGTTGTATCATATATTATCTCGCCTTTTATACCCTCCATATCTATTGCATTCGTCATCACTTGGAATTTTCATAAGATAATGAACTAGTACTAATGTATCTATTGCAGTCGTCATTAGTTGAAATTTTTCAAGAGAGCGAATCAGTGTCGATAACACAAACAATTCATTGAAAAAAACCCAATAGATTTAGATAAAGAAAACAAGACGAGAAGGAATCGAAGAAAAGAATACGCAACGATACTAGACGGCTGTCATAGAATTATCCAACAGATATGGATGGAAAAAAAACAACTGAAATGATTCAGCAGAATTTACTTATATCTTATGTTAGTAGTGACTCATACTCTTGGAAAAAACTCGATTTATTACGACTGCACTCAATAGAAAATATATAAAGGGTGATATGTGAATAAAAAAAATAGTCTCAGTGGTTTTCGACAATTCCAAACACTTATTTCAAAATTGATAACTACGTAAGTAGCTGAATAACAAACTCGTATAATTAATTCTATAAATTCTAAGAATATATCTGGCTTTACTAATATGCTCGTTGTTTAAGATTAAAGTAAATTGAAGCAGAGTTTTTATTTTTTGTTGGAGTTGAGATACAATCATCTCTATTTTTCTTTAAAAGATAAAAAACTTTTTTCATAAGTGTTAAGAGACGATATCTATTATTCCAACTATCTGAATAGTCTTATCTACTTTCTAATATTCTTCTGTTATTGTTTTCATTTGCTTTATACGAATCGATGTATATGTATTCATATCGATTGATACGAAATGAAGTTGCTGTTGTTAGTGGTTTCGTTGTTTCTTTTTTATCGTATTCTTTTCTTATTGCTTTCTAGATTAGTTTTATTTGTTATTAGCCATTTAGCTTCTTTGAAATAAATTCGTACAATAATAAAATAGACTAAAAATTTCTTTCTTTACGATATCTTGTGAATATATTATTAAATCTATTAGTTTTTTTTAACTACGTACTTGAAGTTACTGTTCGCTGTTAAATAACATATAATTTTCTTGACAGGTAAACTGAACAATATGGCTTTGAATCCTTTGACATGTGGCTTCGTGGTGGGTGGCGCTACTGGTGGTTTAGCTGGTGGAATCGGAAAGTTCATCACCGATGACAAGGCTGCAGGCCAGTTGGCAGGTGCTGTTGCTGGTGCTGTAGCAGGTGGATGTGCAGGTGGTTTGATTGGTGCTGCAACGGTTGGTACTGTCACTGCAGCAATGGGAGTACTTGGCGGTGGTTCTGCTGGAACTATAGCAGGTTCCGTATTAGGATATTTCACTGCTGATATGACATATAAAGCAATGTCCGAAGAAAAATAAATGAATACTCTCTGTTTATCATGATAATTTGTTTCATTTTCATTTGAATTGCTGTTTGCCCTATATTATTTATTTTAAATATTTTCTGCATTGGTGTATAGATAATAGAAGCAACAATAACTGATTTTGACCAAGCTCAATTCGTCTCATCAGATATCTCATATCTCGATTGACTTCGTGTTTCAAGAAAGAACTAAAATCTGAATTGATTGTGCGACTGAAGTATTATGAGTGTGACATTCAAAATTATCTGTTTTCTAAAACGATTGATTTATGCTGGCAGTAAGGTTGGTTTCCATGTTGAACCATATGAGATAGTGACTTTCATGATTTTTTCGATTGCTTTCATTCAGTTTGATCATTGTATATAATCTTGTCACTTTTTTTTATACTATTTAAGTAAGGTGATCCTTGTTGAATGGAAATTGCTTTTGTATGATCGGTTTTCAATTGGGTATGAAAATGTTCATGTCCTCCCTTACGAACACATTTTATGAGATCTTAATCTCATTTGTACTTTATTTTCATAACGATATATCTATTTGCAATCATAATTGTCTTCTCAACAACGTAACACTCGATATAAAGTGAAAACAAGGAGTGAAAAATCTTTAATGGTAGATCCGATAAAAACATCTATGACAGGCAAGCACTGATTCACCATATATACATAGATGACAGGAAAGAAAAATCCATGACACATAAGCTAACAACAAAAGAACAGAAGAAGAACATAAGGGCATATGTATAACCATATAGATACAGAGGGAAAATCCTTATGACCTGCATCTTCTTCAGATGAAGGTCATAACATGCTCCAATTTGAAATTAGCATAATTTAATTCTTGATTGAAAAGAGTTGTTAGTTTAATATACATGCAAAAGAAAGAATGCTTTACGTATTCATTAAGAATGACTCTTCGAATTGATCTTCTTTTTAAATGTTTAATTGCGCGATAAGAAATTTCGAATATCTTTTATTTAATCTCTTTTTAATAGTAAGTTAACTCGAACAAATGATAACAAAAAATCTTAGAAATAAAAAAACAAACAAATATCGTTAAAAAGGTATAAGAACATTTATATGTTGTATGATTTTTATTTTTTAAATTATGATAAAATAAAAGTGTTGTTTCAATTTCAGGTAGTTTATTATGATCAGTAGTACCATGATCCTGATGATAAAGTGGGTAGCGAATCTAGATAAATAAATTTAAATTTAAAATCTAGAATTTTTTATAACTAAGCACACCTTGAGCTTGTTGTTGTTTTATTTGATTATAATTCGGTTGATGTTGTTGTTCAACTGTTCGACTTGATTGCCATTGATGTAAATCTTCTACTGAATATCCATTATAAACAAATAAAAAGAGAAATCGAAGACTTTAAATCGAATAATTAATTTACCTGGACGAATGTTTTTGTTAGGTTTTCTCATTGTTTCGAAAGAGTTTGCATGTAATTGTCCTGAATATGATATGAACAAAAATGAATTCAAGAAATTTTACTTTTACCAGTTTGTGACCATGGTTGAATGTGCCAGGGTACCAACGGATTAGTAGCAAAACCGTGAGTAGTTTGTAGTTTTGAGTCATCAAAATCTTTCCATTGACTTGTTGGATCTATGGAAATTTTGAATTATGATATAAAATTAATTGAGAAAGAAATAAAAAAAACGTTACTTTGATATTGTTGATTGTTTGACCCTGATTGCATATGCTCAAATGAATTTTCATTAAGTAAATCTAAAATAATAAAAAACACAATATTTTGTAAACAAAAAAAAAGAGAGTCAATCAATATACCTTGTTGTTGTTGTTGATCTAAGCCATATTGACTATTTGGTATTTGAGAAGAAGTATCAGCGATTGAGGATTTTTTATATTGGTCTAAAAATATAATATTTCATATGTTAATGTGAAGTTACAAGATTCTATAAGTTACTTTGTAATCGCAATTGAGGTTTTAGAATTAGACTATGTTTTGATATTTCTATTATGAAAATAAATAAATTTATAATATAAATCATAGAAAGTTTTTACTTTGCCATGGTTGTAATTGAAATGCAATATGATGATCATCAAATTCAGATTTTATTGGTTGATCTATAATCAATTAAAATTATAAATCTAATATAAACATAATATATACTTTGAAATTGTTGAGTGAGAAATTTATTTTGCGATAATTGTATTGGTTTTTCATGATTTTGATTGGGGAAATCTAAATATAATAGATAATAATGTTAGAAGAATTAATGAGTCCATAGACATGCCTTGTAAATGCATGAATTTGTATGGTTGTGTGGTTGTTTCAACGAATGTTTGTTGGTTACGATCTATAATATTCAAAATAGAATTTAAATTTCGAAATTTAATTACAAGAAAGTTTATACTTTGTAATTGCTGTTGATTTTGAGTAGTATGAGATCCTGATGAACAAGAAGAAGAAGTATATGAATTTTTCGTAAGAAAGAATTTTACCTTGTGTTGATTGAGTAAAAGTATGGTGATAATCTTGTGGTTCTCTTTCTGGTATTTGATCTAATTTACAACAAGAATCATTTCGAATAAAGTTTGTTCCAAGACTTACTTAACCATTGTTGAGTACCAAAAACTGGATTTGATTGTGGAAGATCTAAATAAATAAACAATATTTTGATAGATTAAATGAAAAAAAGTGAAGTACATACGTTGCTTTTGTTGTTGTTCATCGATTTGCACTTTTTCTCCTTCTATATGAAACAATATAGCTAACAAGGAAACCGCTCGGAGTGATTTACTGCGCTTGCTATTATATTTTATCCACAAATAAAAGGTTTGTATAGTAGAAAAAGTCGAAGAAAATATCGGTACATGTTGCGATATGGAAGTGTTACTAAAATTTTGTTCGAATGAAGATCTTCACTAGACTAACCTATAAGTAACTTATCAAAAGCAGCGTGACATTACTGAGTTATGCATTATTCAAAATATAGGCGTTTTTCAATAGGTATTCTATACAACGTGGATATTTTGAAAAAATTATATCATCATAATGTTACACTGAAATGCTGTGAAATTTTTCTTAGAAACTAGTCTAGTTAAGATTTAGATTTCACCGAAGACTAAAGATCCTACAGAAAAACTCTGGTTAACATTTCCATATCTTCTTAGGCTCTTTGTATTTTACAGGATTTCTATTGTTTAGACAAAATATGAAGACAAACGTGGTAAACCACTTTAAGAGGTTTTATTTTGTAAATGTTTTGTTTTGATTGAATAATATTAAATATTGAAAATATGTAATAGAATTATTTTAGATAATAAATAGTTATTTACTTTGTAATTGAACATTATTCGAATCAGTAGATGAATGTAAAGAATATGTTGGTGTCCATTGTTGATTTTCTACAGATTGACTAAAAGTTTGTTCTTTTGTTACAGGAGATCGTTCACTGTCAGTTAATGATGTTCCAGATTGAATAAAATTTTGATGTATTTGATCTAGAATTATATAAACAATGTTTTTTTCTCTTGTTAACAATAAACTAAAGTATATAACGAACTATTTCCTTTATTTTGCGATGATTGTTGATTTTCATCATCTATTTAAAAAATAATACAATATTAAATGAATAAATAGAGAGAAGAAACGATAAAATATTCATACTTTGTTGTCCATGTTCAAAATTATGATTTTGTTGTAGTCCTATTTTGAAAAACAAAATAAATAAAATTTATATTAACATAATTATACTTGTATTTAAACGATTATTATTATCCATTGATGTTTCCTCAAGAGTACTTGGTTTTGGTTGTTGTTGAGTTTGAAACGATTGAGAATCTATTTTCAACAATAAATGAAGGAAAAACTTTAAAAAGAAAATTTTTACTTTGCCATCTTTGTGGTAGTGCAAGAAAAGGTTGAGTATTTTGTAGATAGAAACTAGCTGATTGTGGCGTTCGATTTTCAGTTAATCCAGTAGCTGATACATTTAATCGAGATTGTTCTTGTTCTTGTTCCTGTTCTTGTTCTTGTTCTTGTTCTTCTTCTTCTTCTTGTTCTTGAGAATTTTGATTTGAAAAATCTAAATAAGAACGAATAGAAATTTATAAAAAAACCTCAATAAATAAACAAACAAACCTTGTGAATGAACTACATTTTCTGCTGTTGTAGTTGTGTCAAAAAACCTTTGTTGCTGTTGACCTATGACATTCGATAGAATTAGAGTTAATAGATGTAAAAGAGAAAAAATTATACCATATAACCATGGTCTAAATTGATGAACTTGATAACCTAATCAATGAAAATAAACCATGAGAATTTCTTTTTTAAAAAGAAACTTACCATGCCATGATTGTGGTTGTACAGCAAAATTTTGAGTATTCTTTGTATTTGAATGAATTTTTTTGGCGAGTTGACTGAGAGTAAACTGGTTTGTTGGTATTTTCGGCCATGATTGGATTGGCTTTTCATGGTTTTGATTACGAAAATCTAAATGATAGATAAAAGTATTACGCGATTTAGTGAAAATATAGACAAACTTTGTAAATGAATCAATTTGTATGGTTGTGTAGTTGTTTCAACGAATGTCTGTTGATGTTGATCTATAACATTTAAAATAGAATTTGTATTTTAAAGTTTAATTGAAAGAAAGTTTATACTTTGAAATTGTTGTTGATGTTGAGTAGTATCAGATTCTAATTAACGAGAATATTTATACATTTTTTTTTATAAAAAACAATCTTACCTTGTGTTGATTGTGGAAGATTAAATTCATCATTTTGTGATATTGTTTCGACAAATGTTTCTTGATTTTGATCTATAAAATTCAATAGAATTTATCGTTCAGTATATAATTGAAAGAAAAGTTTATACTTTCAAATCGTTGTTCATTTGGCGTAGTATGGGGTTCTTATTAATGAT